TGTGGGAGCCGGAGCCACCGTTGGGGCCACCGGGGATGACAGTGGACTGAACCATCTCGGAGGTCTCGGTGTCACAGGGAGTGGAGGTCTCAGCGGGAGCAGTCTGGGAAGGCTCGACGGGAGACTCGCCAGTGGGCTTGGCAGGGACAGAGACGGTCTGGGAGCCAGAGTGACCGGGGATGACAGTCGAGTGGATCATCTCGGAGGTCTCGGTGTCACAGGGAGTGGAAGTCTCACCAACGGGGGACTCGCCAGTGGGGGTGGGGACAGCGGGAACGGTCATGGAGCCAGAGCCAGAGTGGCCGGGGATGACAGTCGAGTGGATCATCTCGGAGGTCTCGGTGTCACAGGGAGTGGAAGTCTCACCAACGGGGGACTCGCCAGTGGGGGTNNNATGACAGTCGAGTGGATCATCTCGGAGGTCTCGGTGTCACAGGGAGTGGAAGTCTCACCAACGGGGGACTCGCCAGTGGGAGTGGGCACAGCAGGGACAGTGATAGAGCCGGAGCCGGAGGGACCGGGGATCACAGTGGAGTGGACAATCTCGGAGGTCTCGGTGTCACAGGGAGTAGAAGACTCGGGGGCCTCACCGGTAGGAGTGGGCTTGGCGGGGACTGTGATGGAGCCAGAGCCGGAGGGACCGGGGATGACGGTGGAGTGGACGATCTCAGAGGTCTCGGTGTCACAGGGGGTGGAGGAAGAGGCAGGGGCAGAGGTGGTCATGGTGGAGGTAGAGTCCTGGTTGCACTCAGCCTCGCCGAGGACAGAGAGACAGAGGTTGATGGGGATGTTGATGAGACCGGTGCCGGAGTTGGACTGCTGGTTGCAGTGAGCCTCGCCGAGGATGGGAGCACAGATGTTGATGGGGACGTTGATCAGAGACTCGCCACCGCTGCCGGAGGAAGAGCCAGAGGCCTGGTCACACTTGGCCTTGCCGATGGCGGCAACACAGGCGTTGACGGGAACGTTGATGAGACCGTTGGAGGCGGAGGACTCCTTCTGCTTGCACTCAGCCTCGCCGAGGACACCGGCGCAGAGACCAATGGGAATGTTGATCAGGGACTCGCCGTCAGAGCTGTCAGAGCCGGAGTTGTCGGAGGTGTCATCGCTGTCGGAAGAGGAAGAACCGGTGGATTGGTTGCACTTGGCCTCGCCGAGGGCAGCGACACAGGCGTTGACAGGGACGTTGACGAGACCGTTGGAGTCAGCGGTCTTCTGCTTGCACTCAGCCTCACCGAGGACACCAGCGCACAGGTTGACGGGGATGTTGACGAGGGACTGGCTGTCGGAGGAGCCGGAGCCTGAGCCGGAGCCGGAGCCAGCAACCTGGTCACACTTGGCCTGGCCGAGAGCGGCAACGCAAGCGTTGACGGGGACGTTGACGAGACCGTTGGAGCTAGCGGTCTTCTGGTTGCACTCAGCCTCACCGAGGACGGCGGCGCAAAGGTTGACGGGGATGTTGATCAGAGACTGGCCACGGGCAGCGATGGGGAGCTGGTGGCACATCTCCTTGCCGAGGGCAGCGATGCACAGGTCGAGGGGCACGCTGATCAGGCTGTCAGTGGTCTTGGCGACCTGGTCACACTGGGCCTGGCTGAGAACCGAGGCACACAGGTTGACGGGGATGTCGACCAGAGTCTGGGCACGGCGGGCACCAGCCTTCTGCTTGCACTCAGCCTCGCCGAGAGCGGCGACACAAGCGTTCAGGGGAACGCTGATGAGGCTGTCGAGGCCACGGGCGGCGTGCTGCTTGCACTCGGCCTCACCGAGGACGGCAGCGCACAGGTTGAGAGGAATGTCGACGAGAGCCTCGCTGCGACGAGAGCCAGCCTTCTGGTGGCACTTGGCCTCACCGAGGGCAGCGACACAAGCATCCACGGGGACGTTGATGAGGCTGTCGACGCTGCGGGCCTGCTGCTTGCACTCAGCCTCGCCGAGGACGGCGGCGCAGAGGTTCACGGGCAGGCTGACCAGCTCGGTGGCCTGGACGCCGGAGGTGGAGGCCGCGAGGGCCACCAGGGAAGCGACAACAGATTGCTTCATTGTTCCAATGACTGGAATTAAAGAAAGGACGCTGAATAAAACAGCTTAAAAGAGTGACAGTTCAAAGAACTAAGGGAAAGAATGAAGCAATCAGAAAGGATGAAGGGAAAAATTGTCCACGGGCAGCGGTTTATACTTAACCGAGTGCATAGCAATAGGGGAGAGCGTCGATCCCAACCTCAACTCTGCCAAGCCGCACCGAATGTTCACAAAGGGTGAGACCAGTCCAGGCCAATTGCTTTCGATTGGTCTGCCCCTGTCGCTCGTGGAGAGGTTGACATGTTCGGCTGTCGACTGCAGTCCAACCCTGCGCAGAGTTACGCCGGTCCACTACTGCCGCTAGGGGGTTGCAGGTGCATCTGATTGCTCAAGTTTGCGGTCTATTCCGTCCTAGTCTGGTCGACTACTACTCCATTGAGCTGCCGGAAGCCCTCATTTGCCCCATCCTGCCCCATCTTGCCCCACAGAAATCTGGAGAATTGTTGCTGTTTACAGTCCGGACGGCTCAGGGGTCTGCAAACCGGTTGGCCCTGCACGTACTTAGGTGACAGAGCACGCTGCAATATTATTTATGGAGTCGTTTTCTTTAGCTCCCCAAAACCTGGATTGTGCGTCCTATTCGTGGTCTCCTGGATCTGTGCATCCTTGGCAACCCCCATTTTCCAGACGATACTACAGTATATACTCAGATTGAACGCTAATATTGGATTTCAAGTGATCTATCGTCCTGACTAGTCGAAGTTGGCCAATATCTGCGAACCCCTGGGGCCTCCTTACACCCGCCACCAAGCCACGGTGAGAGACTTCCGATCTGGCCCTGGTCCACTTAGTGGCAGTGGAGTAGGCACATCGCAATAAAAGGTGGGTTCGGCAACTTGTCCAGGAATTACACTGTCGATCACTGTATAAAATCCGTCAAGTGGGATTTGTGCCCGATTAGCGAGTGTCTCGGAATAGTAAACAAACATCCGTCCAGTGCTAGGCAATGCAATTTCCAATGGCCTGGAACTGTCCTAATTGACCATGCTTTCATCCCTGTCCAGTACTCGAGGCTGTGTAGCCGACGTTCCCGGTTCCCATTTCCTCCAATTTTGGAGTCGCCATACGAGAGTACGAAAGTACGAAAAGGGGCAACTCCACTTTTCTTTGTTTTTGTTTTTGTTTTCGGTCTGTATACCTGGCCAAGCTATTGATTTTCGTGGCTTTCACGAGTCCAGTGCATATGGACATATGTACGGAGTACGGAGTACATATGGAGTAGACAAATTTGCACGTTCATCTCGATCGGTGGGGATGTCTGCGATTAATGAGGTGGCGCCACTCAAAGGTCGTTAAGGTTGGACTACTAGCACTCCAGATTCAATAATCTCGAAGAGGATCTGAATGTCAGCCAGAATATAACTAGTATGAATAGTCCTCCGTACAGCCCTATACTATAGTCTGGCTCTGCCGCATCCGACTCCGTGTACTCCGTATACTCCGTACTACTAGTCCAAATATATACGAGGCTAGCAGACTACTTGAGTAACTAGATCCACGTTCAATTTTCAGATCGCACAGAGACCCCAAGATTGAATATGCTTGTCAAATATTAACAGAATGTCAAGATCGAGCATCTTCAAGTCTGTGAAAATGGATTTTGTCATGACGCGTACAGAGTGGGTTTCCGCTGTGCGTCTGTCGCTATCCGACTCGCATCTTGAACCTGCCACTTCCCGGTTTAATTGTGATTTGATCTTTTGGAAAAATGGTTTTTATGCAGGTGAAGTGACTCCACTTGGCTTGATAAATCAAATCACCGATCTGGTCCTGTCGCTAGGTAACGAGCCAAGATATTGCATGGCGATGGATATAAGACCACCTGGGCAGCAAATATATGTATAGGTGGAATAATATTAATTCCTCAACCCTCCAATATTCTGCAGCGACGCGTTTCTCCCGAGTCTTACACCTGAGCAATCAACTCGAGTCTGCAGGTACAACGATCGATTGAATCACGATGCGCCCGGTCGCGAGGAACGGTTTCCATTTCTAAATCCGCCAAATTGCCAATCCGGCCAGCTTATGCCAGATTGATCTGCAACCCGAGAGTCGCGTTCATCACGGCATTTCCGTAGAAGAACTCCGTACTGCCCAAATATATTAGTGAATGCCAACCCAACCGGAAGCAATACATACCCAGCATTACCAACATTCACATAGGTGGACTTCTTAAAAGTGCCTACCTCGACCAAAGCAAGCAGCCATTCCTTGAGATCACCCGAGAACGATCCCTCGAACTGCTTGGCGGGCATCAGAGTGCTGACCGTGATTCCGGTATCGGTATTGACATCTTCATAGAGGGTCCACGAGGTCCCGAAGAGATCGTCAATGGTTGCAGATGGACCGTTAGTCCAGCCGATCGGCAGCTGCCCGCCCTCGTATTGCAGCCACAGCATGAGCTCGTGCGAGGACGATGAAGTCGAGTCACCCTTGATGTCGTTGGTCATGAAATCGAAGCAAATGTTTCCTGCTCTCTTCGTTAGCCTGAAAAGAGCTCTCCAACTAATGGTGTCGTACCCTTGAAATCGGTGGTGTTGGTACGTGTCCAGGTGTAGTCTGTGGGAATGGAATCGATGGCGGACAGTTTGGTCTCGAGGTTCTGCGTCAGACCGACGAAAGAGTATCCCTTGGGGACGTTGTTACTGCATAAGCCGGTGGTCAGTCATTGACAAGGAGGCTCGATCGGTATCCGTACGTGCTCTCGACATAGTCGATATCGGTCACACTACTCCAGATAACCTCTTTGGTGCCACTTTTGCTGGTAGTGACTTGGTCGTAGTTGGTACATTGCGTGCCGACAATCTGAGCAGCATTGTACAGCATGTTGTAGACGATCCATGGCGTATCAGGCAGGATCAGATTCGCATAGTCTCCGCAAAGCTGAGTCGAAGATACAGCCCGGGAGGCAAGCTCGCTCAGTGTGGGGAGAGCGACAGCCGAGGGAGTCAAGGACAAGGCCGCCAGGGCAAAAGACTTGAAGAGAACCATCTTGGAATAACACAAGCTCTGAGACCAGCAGAGTCAATTGCAAAAGAGTGAATGAAGATGGAAAAATGAAACGGTTGCGAGCTCAGGGGGACTTCAGGATTTATATAAGTGCAGTCATATGGAGTTGATCTAGTTCTAACACCCAAGTGGGGCTGCGAAGGATGAAGATGCAATGTGAAACAGCCGAAAGTGCCTGCACCTTAACACAATATAGAGTGATTGCAAACACCCGATCGACGAGATAGCGTCCATCACTCGACTTGATCTTCCGGGGCCGAGTCTCCACGTCCCAAACAGGAAGTCGAGGGCTCCACCCAAACTGCTGGGAATGCGGAGAAACGAACCTGTAATACCATTGAGAGAAGATATTCCCTCAATTGATGGTGCTGACCTCGGGGGGTCTCTTGGATGAGTTAATTAGAGAGCTGCACATGTACAAAGTTGGAATGCCCCAAACCAGTGAGACGAAATGAAGAACAATTGATTAGTCGCGAATACCACGCTCTGCGTGATATTTCTGAAAGTCCGTCCACTGAGCACCTTGACCATACATCAAAGGCAATGCGAGTCTGGCATCAAAAATCGCTCTCCAAGGAAAGCTGTATGTGCATCGGACCACGAGGTCTGATCTAGGCGATGCAAACAGACGTGATAAAATTGTACTGCTGACCGATGGTAGCCCGTCTTTCTCGATATGAACTCTCTGCAATGCATCGACGAACATCTGACGGAATCTGCCGATCGCTTCTTTGCTTTCCACGGGCGCAGCTGGCGGGGCGACGAATTCCGGGATGATGGCAAATCTCTCAATAGGAACCGTTTGAGCATTGCTCCAGTCCAGCAAGCCGGTGATATTGTAGTCCTGATCCACGAGGACGTTGTGGTAATGGAAGTCGATGTGGCATAGCGGGAATGGGCCACGGATGTTTTCTTCCGTGGTCATCATTGGAGCCGACTGTTCTAAGAGCCAGGCTGCCGCCTCCCACTCCGGTTCTCCATGGTGGGCTTTGAGGATTGCATTGGTTTGCCCTTTGCGGAGATAGTAGAAGAATTCCAATGAAGTGGACAGGGGCTCGATTTGCGTGGAGAACCCTGCGAGGTCGAAGGGTGAGAGCTCGAATTGACATGACTCGTCGGAGCGCAAAACTCTTCCAATCCGATCGAACCGAATCGTGCTCAGCTCATAGAAGTAACCAGCTAGTTGAGCCGCGAACTTTTCCTTGTGAACATCAGGCACTGACAGGGCCATTCAGCTATCGAGAACTTGTCCCGGAAGCGCTTCCATCATCATGTAGCGATAACCGATAGATTTAGCCGATGCGTCGTATCCAAACACCCGGGGGACGGGGATAGTAGTCCTCAGGCGGATCAACTCCATTGTGGAGACCTCACTCAACATTGCCGTTGAAATGCCCGCATCATCAGCATCGTCATCTCGGGGTAGTTGTATCCTGACCACCCAATGATTGGCATCGGAGAAAGTGAGAGCGACGACCACATTGCAGGCTCCACTTGCAAACTTGGCTGTGTCAACTGCGCAGGTTAGTGAGGGCATGGCCTCTCCGTCTTCTATTTTGCGGAGCTGGACTGCCGTGGAGCACAGCTTGGCGAAGTTTGTATGGTCAAGGACCGCTTTGATTCTCTTGGCATGGTCGCTTTCAGAGTCAATGTTCTGAACAGAGGCCCAGCTCTGATCGACAGACATGGTGAGTTGATTTGAGCAGAGGCAATGTGGAAAGAAAGTAAACTCGATGTGATTGAGTATGTTTGATTTACCGGCATGCACAGAAGACAGTGGAAATGATCGAGACCCCCGAATCGGAGTATCTCTGGAATGAGTCCCTCCGAGCTGGGGCAGGTCACTAGGAGTCGACCTTCAACATCGGGCGAAGGGTCGATATTACCCCGCACCGAGAAGTTCCCGGTGGCCAAGGATATCACAACTGCGCGTCGCTCCAGGGCTTTTGGAATACAGCGCAGTCGCCCTATGTCCTGTTTCGGGAGTCATCACACAAATCCCATGTGTCCGCTGAAAATTTTGGTCGAAAGAGGGCACCTTATTATTGCCATGTTTGAGCGATCGACAATCCAAGCCACAGGCAATCAGCTTTGTCTTAGCAGTGTTTGTCCAAAGGGCTTCCCTTCGAGTAAAATGTTGGTGAAAGTGGCCAATTTACCACCGAGCGGGACGCCATTGGCAGGTCAATATTCCCCATCATCGGTGTACTTCTGAAACCTCTCATACCGCCGTGGGTCGTCAAAATTGTGCTCCACTGGGGCATTGGAAACCGGTTGAAATCAGCATCTCATCATTTGCCAATGGTGGGACCAGAACAGTATTTCGCTAAGAGGTTGCGCAGAGCCCTTACAAGGTCAGACAACTTTTGCACCCACTCTCGTTGGCTGACATCGTGAAACAATTCCAATGTTATCGATGAGAGTAAAAGGCCGGGGAATGGACATCGGGAAGTCGCTTCCAATGTTGCCTTGATTCTAAGGCTGCAAATTATCGGATGTTTGCACTGTTTGGATTGTTTGCACTGTTTGGACGGGGACACGGGAAAATCCGCCGTTTTGCCCCAGGGTCCACGGGCCCTTCTGTCAGTCTGTGCCGGACAATCTCCGAACAGATGCCTGTCTACATTTCCCGTACTATTTTCCTGAAACAGCTTGCAGAGCGAGTTGTGCTTCAGGAACTGGCAATGAGAAAATTTGCCCTTGCGGGTTCCAAATTCATTCTGTGCGATCTCTGCGCTTACGGATGCGTGAAATAGTCCGCGTATTTGGGCTCGAGGACAATTCAAGGATAGGGAGCATCATTAATCTCAGCCTCCAAGAGCCCGACTGTGGCGGTGGAGTCTTTGATCTTTATTGTACCGAGGTCAAACCTGCTCACAATTTGACAACATGGTGACAATTGGCAAAAACGGCGCAAAGGACGATTCTGGTATTAAGGAGCTAAGAATTTTGTGTCATAAGCTTACATGCTAGGAGCTAGAAACTGTTGATTGTACAATCATGCAGACTCAACGACCTCACCATCCGCGCCTCGAAGAAGAGAACTAAAATCACACCGAAGTGCGCTTCACCCGCCGAGAGTGAAGGGAGTTGTTGCTGCGCGCTCGTCGAGTAGCCTGGTTTCCACTGCTCTCACCGAGGTCAAAGGCCCAGACAGCCTGGAAGCAATGGGTATCCACCTGAGCCTTCTGGTTGTTGGCCTGAGCGTTGTACGAGCTCGTAGCCGGGAAAAGACCGATGATGTTGTAGAAGTAGGCCTTGCATGGTGTCAGCATCTTCACAATGGCTGCTGGCGAATAATGTGTCCTTACATCAACGGCAGTCTGCAAAATGCGAATCTCAGAGGGAACATGGTACTTGGTGGTCGAGTTGATGGACTTCAGCTGGGTCGCGCTGCTGGAGAACGAGTCCATGAGCTCGAGGAGGGATTGTACGAACTAACACAATTAAGTATGTCTCTTACTCTATTCTGATCGACCTACATTGGAATATCCTTCATAGACGTCTTGTTGCTCCGTCTGACCGGTGATGATCGGCGTGTTCGTCATATAATTTACATCGGAGAGAATCACCGACACCATCGAGTCCATTTGCGTGTAGATGTTCTGCTTTCGATGAGCGGTCATTCGTGGGGTTTCTATTCCCCGCTTACCGGGATGGGGCCAGCGTCTGCCGTGGTATTAATTTCCTGGATCAGGGCTTTAACAGCGAATCCTTGCTGCGCGAGTTCGTTGAGAGAATTGGCGATTTCACCGGAGGCCAGTGCAGCGACCGCGCAGTGCGCGCTCAGGCAGAGAGCCACGATGAAGGAGAACAGAGGGCGATACATTGCGAAATTAGTTCGATAAGAATACAAAAATATAAAAATGAAGGAATGAAGAAGGGAATGAACGAATCAACGAATGAACGAGTGTTATCTTGAAAAGAGTGGCAAGAATAACAAGAGTGAATAGTGAACTGGAGAAACTGAGTCGTGCGAAATTGTGTTCTTATACGAGGCCCCTGACTAGGCCGAAATCGGACGCTGCAATGGCACAATAATATCACCGTTTAGGCTAGACCTGTCAGATACTAAAATAGCAATATATAGCGACCTCAATTCTATCCTCGCCGGCAGAGAACAGGAGAATACCATAGTAAACAAGGAAAATAACAGCAAATGGACAATGCAACCCATAAGACACGTACGCCACAAAATGATGATTATATGTAGACAGATGTGAAGCCAAACGCAAGCCAACCTGGGAACAGCGATTAGGGTTTCGCAAGCTGTTCTTTGCGATAGAAGAAGACGCAGAGCACATTGATGGAAAGCATGAAGAGCAGGCAGACCCAAAAGTCTGCCTTCTGCAAGCCCTCCATGATGCCCGCAGAGAAATCTGGGAAAACATCACCAGGGCCCAGCTTATTCGGTGCGGTCGCACGAGCGAGAATAGTAGCAACCGAACCGACCACTTGAGCGGCCAGAAGGGTGAAGGTGACATGGAATCGGGTCATGGTGGAAAGGAGGATCATCCCAAAACCTATACGAGAGTTAGTTCGTGCAACAGTTGATTCGATGTAAGGGGAACCCTACCAACTCCTTGAAGGGCATCCAAAACACCCAGCCACAACCATAGTGCTCTCCCAAGAATAGCCCCGGCCACTGGGCCTCCGGCCCAGGGAATGTACGTGGCTATGTTGGAGGTGGCCCAGAGAATCTGGGCCCATCGAGGAGCACCAAGGCCGATAGCAAAGATCGGGATGAACCAGGCATGTCGCTTGGAAAAGACATGGAAGACCCAGAGAGCTACCGCCCAGACGACGATGAAGAACAACAGTACAAGAAGCACGATTTGCCACACTTCTGCATGCTTGCTGGACCAGAGATAGAGCCAGTTTCGTCCGTAGGGTGCCGACAGCCAGTAGTTGGAGATGAACACCATGTAGAAAAACCACTGTGAAAGAAAGGTTAACACCAAAATCAGGCCAGAGAGTTGGTAGATACATACAAGAATGATGCGACGACGGAACAGCGATAGGTAGAATGTCGGCACTTGACCTGGTACCTGTCTATAATATGAAGGAAGGCCAAACAGGACCATGGCGCCGATAATCCACAGGAACGCAGCAAGTCCGACTCCGATGCCAAGCAGAGCGCTTGGATTGGTCATGACTAGGCTGAATTGCTGAGTTCCTTTTTGGTTGACAGACGCCATCCAGCTTCCCCAATACCAAAGGAAACTGATAAATAGCTGCTGAGTACCCTGGATGAGAGTGGCTCTGTAAATCCAAGACTTGAGAGGCGCACCACCTAGACAAAAGGATTAGCACTCTTCCATCATTCTGAGGATCGTAACATACCTTCATCTCCAAAATTGAGAGAGAAATAGATCGAACCGCTCGAAGATGCAAAGGAATAAAGTCCCGTTCCTACGTTTTGTAGCCAAGTTCGGCTGATGCTGCTGCTGACAGGACTAGCAATACCAACAAACAAGAAGGCAAACCCGTATACCTGCTGATAGTTAGCAACCTTGTAAGTCGGATGGAAGAGCCTGGACGTACAAAGAATGGAATCGCCAAAACGTAGACCGAGGGAACTAGACGGAAGGCGATCCACCACACGATCGACGAGGCAAGGTAGATGGATGCCAGAACGTACAGCTTTTCGGCCGTTTCACCAATCTCACCGTTGAGGAGTGTGATTTGGTACGAGTTCAAGGCGAGAATTTGGCCCTGAAAGAATACTGTTAGTCTGCAATGCAATCTCTTGTCCAGGGTTCAACTCACAGCGGCAAGGAAGAGGGAGTACACAGGCCAATCCCCCAACTTGATCAGCATGAACCGTTTCAAACCCGTCGGAGGCGTATAGTCACTCGGCAAGAGGAACTGCCCAGCATTCGGGTCCACATCTGAGCTAGCAATGACCGGACTCTCTAACCGAGGGGTTTCGCGCACTTTGAGACGGAAGACCGAAGAAGCCGGAGAGGGCGAGTACCCCTTACCCAATTTGACATCGCGGTACCGATTGAACCAGTCCTTCTGACTCTTCTCGAGATACTCCTCGATGCAAAGCTGGTCTTCGGAGTTCTTGCCACTCAGATCCGCAAGCTTCTTCTCGAATTTGTCTGCGTACTCGTTGTTCACGTCTGTGAAGAATGGATCAACTTGTTGAAGGTTGTAGTCCTGTTTCTCCTTGACGATGCCATCGACGCTGACCAGAGTCATCATGGATGCCCTTGCGTCTCTTCGGCCCAACAATCCGTCTTCTGGCGATGCACCCTGAACGGGCGTGCTGGCGCCCGACCGGGAGAAGTACACATTAGGAGTTCCTAGTGGCGAGGGGAACGCACTGCGGTTTTCTTGCATGAATGCGGAATTGGGATCAAGGGCTTCTGCATCATTCACCGAAGAATAAACGATTCTTGAATCTGCAACAGCGCCAGATGACAAGGGTCTCGCTCTATGTTCAGTGTCGGAGTCAGGCTCGTCGGAGACATTAAAACTGGAAGACAAATGCGTCGGCGTGAGAACGTAGCCAAGGCCAGGTCGAGGTACAGGTCTCTGATCGGGCGTGATCGATCCGCTCGGGACAGATACAGTGGAGCCTCGCGATCGGCTCTGCTCGCGGCTGTCGTTCGGGCTTGATGAGATGTTTCGAGACCGTTCAGGGACAAGGGTGCTGGCGTGGGAGATTCTCCATGAGCTCCGATCGGATCGTTTGGAGTACTTGGCGTGCTTTTCGATTGAGGTGGTTTGTAGGATCTCCAGATCCTCAACCCACTGTGCCACCGGGAAGCGCTGTTTGCTGGATCTTGCACGCATGAGCGCTCGTGTGTCTTGAGACGATTTCAGAGCGTCGTTGATGGCTGACTTGAATTGTTGGAGAAGGTGCCGGGTTGTCATAGACTCACTGGGATGCGTTAGTTGGAACATGTTGTGAGAGAAGGAAAACTCACATTGTATACCACCATCCTGGCATCTGGCCAAGGCCACCGACACTAAATCAGAGGTTAGTACTGGGGGTAGACTCAAGTCAGATTGTTCTTACCGTGATCCCACACCCAATGCACCTTTCCGTCCAAATTCGACCGCCACCAGACCGAATGGCTCATCACGCGAAGGAATCAGGGCGAATTCAGCGCCGGTGAAAATGAATGGAGGCAGTGCAGTGAACTCTGGCTTGGAATACACCCTTCCAGGATAGAGCTCCATCAGTCGTTTCAGTTTCAGCGCGGCGAATCTTCCATGGAGATCAATGACTGGTCCAATACACATCAACTGGACCTTGGGGTGCGCGTCCAGAATAGAAGGGAATATGTCTGCAATTAGATCCACGCCCTTTTGCATCGACCAACGGCCGACAAACACAAACAACTGGGCCTGGGCGTCAACCTTGAGCCCTGCCCATTCTTGCGCTTGTTGCTTGAGCGCGGCACGACCCTCTTCGAACTCCATATCGATCACAACGTCCTCGAGATTGGTGCTTGTGTTGTGATCCCAATCAGCAACATCGGACGGATCGGGGTTTGGCAGTGCTTCGATGTTCTTCAGACCCCAGAAGATAGGGTATCTGGCGTACGACCGCTTGCCATACTTCTTGGAGACGCCGACCGCGCCGAATCCATTCTGGTGGATTTTCAGGTAGTTGGCAGCTCCATGGAGAAGGTTAAAGACTTCACCGAACTGGACATACTTTTTGACCAGTGCATAATCAAGGTTGAAGACTCTACAAACCTCTTGGTTCTGCTGTGGGGTCTTCATCGGCCAGAGTCCCTGGAATTCTGCATTGTGCAAAGACAGGCAGCAAGGGATCGTGCGAGGTAGAAGGTAGAGAGGAGCAGCGGCACCGTGGTAATCATTGATGTGATAGATATCGATGGCCGGGAATCTCCTGATAGCTTCGGCAATACACTGATTCCAACTGGAATAGAATATAGCCGAATCCAGATCATCCATGCGTGCAGGGTACGGCTCTGATTTGGACTGAGCTCGGAACACAGGCGCATCCAACAAGACGTAGGTGATGTTGTTCAGCCGATGATACTGGACATCCACTTGGTAGTTGTTATCGAGGACGGTAATCACCATCGGCTCACCGGGCTCATCCCTGGGGTAGTCAACGCCTCCGACGCAAGGAACCACCCAGATGAGATCCTGCTGGGTCAGATGCTTCCCCAGTAGCTGGGCCATTACACCAAGACCACCGATTTTGATCTTGATGCCCCAGTCTTCAATGTCGTATTCCATCGTGGCGATAAGCACCGTTCGACGCTGGGTAATGACAGTGGCGCCGATAACACCGCCGACGGCGGCAGCCTCAGATGGGAACGGGCCGATATTGCTCAGAGCAAGTCCGGTAGTGGATTCATTTGATCGATGAGCCACTTTGTGAAATACGCCAACCAACGGGGCGAAGGCTGACTTTCTCTCGATGACACCGATTTGGTTGAATTTGACCTGAGCAAATGCCTTCAGGTAAATGTACACCGCACTGACGGCGGTGGTGACGGGAATGACAGCGAGAATGATGAAGATGGCCAGCTGGACCCACCTGGATCCGGTGGGTGTCGCAAAGACTTTGAGGTTGCCGTCACCCACCGACAACTTGAAGGAAAGATAGGGTGAAGGTGGTGGAATAGTGACGTTGAACACATTGCTCAGCAGCGTGACTGGAGGGACTTGATCCAGAACGTTGTCTCCATCAATATCACCAAACACCTGTGTCTGATCAGGAAGACCGTTCTCATTCAGTCCCCAAGCATTGAAAGAAACCTGCACAGGCCACTCGCCCATGAAATGGATTTCCCACAGACCAGTGGTGTTACTCAAGGTCATTTTGTTGGCATACCCGGCATCATATCCGAATTGGTTGAACTCGCCCTGGATGAAAAGATTAGGGAAGCGACGTGGGGGCTTGTATGCCCACTGCGTATCTCCATGCTGCCAGTGAGCACTGCTCCCGGTCAACTTGCTCCAGTATTGGGCGATGATGTGTTCTCCATCCCAGGCCTGCTTGGAAGTGCCAGTCCAGTTCTTGCCTGGGATCGATGTGTTGAAGCCGGTGTATGTCAACCAGGGACTGAATGTGTGTCCGAAGTCCAGTGAGTATCGCCAGAGATCTGCACCAGGAGCCTGTGGCGTAACTGATAAGACTTCAGTCTCGGACGACGGGTTGTCGAACAAGAGGGTTCTGCTGTAGTTGGACAATTGTGGCCAGACCATCGGGTTGTTGGTCTGTCCGACACGGAAAAGGAAGTGATCGACAGACTGATAGATTCGGTTAGTATTGAGAAGTAACTATCGATCTTCATCGAGGGTAATACTCACTCCGGTAGATTGATTCCCATCTGCCGTTGTCACGTTGTTGACTGTGACTCTGTGAACACCCGGGAAGACATTCCCCAGGTCGACCTCATATTTGAACACGCTGGTGAGTGCCCCCGACCAGGTCACAACATTACTCTCATCGATGGGTTCACAGGATACCGAACTCATGTCAAGCTCCGGCTTCTCATCGCCGAGGGATTTGGACGTGATCGTCAGCGACTTGGTGATGTTTCCGCAGTCCATCTCCTGGGAGAATTCAAATCCAATCCGAATCGTTTCCCCTTTTGTTCCCTCTGGTACAAAGCGAGCATCATGCCCGGGGGTAAATCGCGTTATGAAAGGGGATGGCTGCACGAATTTCTTCTTCGGGACAAACGCTTTGAATCCCCAGGCCGGCATGGTGAGGTTGGGATGACACCCGTTGAAAGCGTCAGATCCTTCGAATCTGCTCATTGTCAGTAACACACATCGATCGCAGAATGGAAAAGAACCTATACCCAAGCTTCATGGTCGTGTTGGTCAGGGTCATTTCCTCGAACGGTGGGAAAAGGTTTTTGACCGTTGTTCCCGCAGGGAATGGTGAGACCAGAGCGTCTCTACTGCTGCAGTTGAACTCGTGTTCGACTGTTTGATTATCATTTGAGTATACCAGCCAGACGCTCTGGTTTCCCTGGCCTTGGCCATCGAAGTTCTGTGCACCCACGAAGCGCGATCTCATAACGCTCCACATGCCTGTCTCGGTTGGTGTCCCATTACTGCCTGGTAGGTAGACATCGAAGGTGTGGTTTGACAATTGTTGCAAGTACCAGCCATCATTCAAGACAGGATAGTTCTCGCGCATCTCGAACATCATCTTGTAAAGACCTCGCATGGGGTGAGATGGATCACGGTGGTCAAGACTGACTGAATCATCTTCACACCCCGTGAGAGAGCGCTCGAGCGGGAAATCAACATACTTCGAGGATCCCAGCTTGTAGCACCCGTGCATCTGCCATGCCTGGGCTGATGACATGGGGCCGCGACCGAAGACATAGTTGTCAGCCTGGTTGTCGAGGACGTAGAACTCCTGTTCTTCACCCCAGGAGAGGATGGGGATACCAGGCATAATCAATATAGCGACGAACTGGCCCAGATTCTGCTTGCGGGTGCCGTCCTTGATGCCTGGCCACCTGAAGACATCTTGATTCGTGACACCAAACTGGTGACGGGGATCGAATTTGCCTGTGTTTGTGTTGATCATGTCGTTGGTCGCCACAAGGTCGTTCCAGGTCTGCACGAAGTTGACTGGCGGGTCGCCTTCGGCCGTGTAGATACCATCAAGACTGAAATTAGGTTAGAAGGAGAAACGTTGAAGTGGAGGGAGACTGACCCTAGGAAGCGACTCAGACCGCGGTACAACGTGTAGTGGAAGGTAGCGCCATCCAACGCAGATCTCTCCGCAGGTCTCAAGAACATGTCTTCATCTCCCTTGTCTGTCTTGTTCGTCGCCATGAACGCTTCGGTCAGGTTGGACTTTGTTTGGTTGGTCTGCTGACCGCGACCGATATACAGCGCGCCGAATGAGTTTCCTGCGACAATCTCGCCGGGAAGGAAGAAGTTATCCTTTCCCACGTCCTTGGCGCAGTCTCGCATATACTCAGACCATTCGCCGAGAGAGTCGAGGGTCACTTGCAGAGCCTTATCGACACGGTATCCGTCGATGTCAAGCATGGTGATTGTAAGACAGGAGAAGTGTTTGATCTTGGCCAACACATCTGGCCGCCATCCACGAAGACGATCTTGGACGAATGCGAATTTCGATATCTGCCCTTCCCACTCGCTGTAATTTCCAAAGGCGGCAACTTCTCCAAACTGGGCAGGTCAGCTATGCTCAGCGTCAGAAGAAATGGACATTACCTGATCGAATTCACTGTTGCGACAAGACTTGCCCAGAGTAGTGGTGGTCAGACCGGTCCCGTCGTCATCCCAGAACCGAGGATATTCCCAAGGACATTCCTCTTCGATCTCATTACCGGGCTGGAAGTCCCAGTATCGACGATCATACTTCCAGACATAGTCGTACTCGTTGGCGTTGATCGGCGCGGATCTGTTCAAGAAGCCTTGAAACCCGATAAGATCGCCCATGCTATCCAATTTAGCAAACGGCATCCGAGCTTGCACAGATGAGGATCACATACGTTGCGAAGGTATTATCGAACAGGACATACAGTCCTCGTCGATGCGCCTCGGATATCATTGTTCGCCAGTTCTCGATCGTGCCGAAGTGATGATCCAGCAGAGTCAAGTCCAGCGGGGAGTATCCGTCTGCAGCCCAAGGGAAGTTGATATAGGGAGTTCCAGCGAGGAAGATACCCTGGAGATGGTTAGCATACTATGCTCCCCAGACCTCTGAAGTAATTTTGGGGCCGACATACCTTGATCCCCATTCCCTGGAGATAATCAAAGGCATCAACCAGCCCCAAGACGTCGCCGCCATGACGGAACTCGTTCGAAGTTAAGATTTGTTCCCACTGTGTTCCATTCGCATTATCGTTACTTGGATCACCGTTCACAAACTTGTCGAGGAAGATCGTATAGAAGGGAAACCGCCAGTTTTCTGGCGACGGGTTGTATGTATGATCATCCCATCGACCTGAGTAGTCGAGGGGATGTGTTGCTGTCTGATTTTGATTAAGATTCCACTCCACTTCCTCTGGGAGATACGGCAGGGACTGCGCAATGCGTATAGATAACGCAACGACGGCCAAGTACTTCGTGATCGAAGCGGTAAACCTCATTTCGCACAGTAAATGCCCCTATAGTGACATTCACAGAGCACGCTGTTCAAGCCTCGATTGCAGAAAGACAATCCCAGAGTGCATACCAGGAAGAGAAGGACGATTGCTCATAGAAAAAGAACCAATTAACAGGTCAGAGAGCGCCAATGCACCAACGAGAAAAAGGATAATGCGTCTTCCGGAGCTACCCAAGCCGAATACCGCAGTTAGATTTTGAGCGAGAAGTCCCACTGGCTTCGCCAACCGGCATGGCCGCAGGAAAAGGCGAACGGCTGGAGACCAGAGCCTTACTGTACAGCCTCAATCGACCGCCATGTTCCATCAGGCTTTCTAATTTGGGAGAATGGAGTTCGAGCTGAGACACAGCACATCTGATGCTCGCATTGCTGTGGCATCTAGACCGGGCTCCAGGCCCAAGCCGGGTCTGTCATTCTCACGGAGGGCCATCTGATACGCAGATGTATACGAGGCTCGGATATAAATGTATTCCCAGACGAGTCATGCCGGGAAACCATCAACCCTAAGGTTCGACGTAAACCAATTTGGGCAATCGAGGGTTGAACACGTCATGTCCTCTGCCATATCGACCTATGAGAAAGGGTGAGAGGTGGATCGCTTGATAAGGATGTTGCTTGTTGCTTAGCGTTGTATGCTGTCCCTTGCGGCCACTCCGTGCTGAGGCTGGTCGGCAATTGATAATTTGATATGATCCTGGGTATCTCTTCTGGCGAGTCAAGTCTGCCGAGACTCTGCCGAGACTTTACTCCGTATAGATCAAATCACCAGTCTCTCAAGGTCCTTATCGGCTTACCTACATGAAACAACGCTCAGCTGTCAAATCCACATGTGGGCCCGATCGGCTCTATGGACAATCACGCCATGACTGGAATCCCCATTGCGATCCCGTTCTGCGGCTCTTCCAGCCCAAAGCCAGCACACATGAAAAAAAATGATCGTCGACTGGGGTCTGGAGTGAAATCTCAAACTAAACAGCCCCCGGCTTAACAGGCTTGACAGGGGGCCGTTTCGGGCCGACGCCCAAACACCCTGTTACCAATACGGTACCGTACAGTATCTGTACCTCAACGAATTTACTATATGATATTTGATCGATATTCTTCCTTATTCCTACTTCTGATCTTTCCTGCAAACGCCACAATGGGGTGGAAGGTTTTGGTGATTATTGCTCTTCACGCAGTCCACACACATGCGGCTTCCCGAGCGCAATGGCTCGGTCGGTCCGTCTACCAGGTAGTCACCGATCGCTTTGCGCGAACCGACAACTCAACCACCGCGTCGTGCGATGCAGGCCTGGGAGAATATTGTGGTGGCACCTTCCAGGGCATCATCAACCGACTGGATTACATCCAGGACCTCGGATTCGACGCGGTGTGGATTTCCCCTGTGCAAAGCCAGGAGTCGAAACGCACGGCAGATCTTTCAGGTGGGATCATATGCGCTGAGCACATACCTGAGAACTGATGATAAAAAATAGCCTATCATGGGTACTGGCCTAACGACCTGTATTCCATCAATTCCCATTTCGGCACTGCGGATGACCTCCGTGCGTTATCGGCCGCGCTGCACGCGCGCGACATGGTGAGTCGCGACCTTTTATTGGGAAGCACAGAACTGAGATCAGAAACAGTTTTTGATGCTGGATGTGGTGGTTGGGGACATGGCTTGGGCAGGGAATGCCTCCACGGTCGACTACAGCACGTTCAATCCGTTCAACGATAAGAAGTATTTCCACGACTACAAGCTTCTTTCCAAGGACCTGGTGAACCACACGTGCGTTTTAGATGTGAGTCTCTCAATTCATGCGACAAGCGCATTGCTAAGCTTTGATCAGTGCTGGATGGGAGACGATGTCCTATCGCTTCCAGATCTGCGAAATGAGGACAAGGAAGTGCAGCAGATGCTGGGCGACTGGGTTTCAGAGCTGGTCTCCAACTACTCCGGTAATTGTATATATTTCCACTCCCTAACAATTAATAACAATTCGTGTAGTCGATGGCCTGCGAATCGACAGTGTTTTGAACATTGCGCCCGACTTTTTCGCCGATTTCACCAAAGCGGCGGGTGTTTTCACGATGGGCGAAGGAGCGACGAGAGACGCATCCGGGTATTGTTCTCTACAGCCCGACATCAGCGGGCTTCTGAATTATCCGCTGTGAGTCGCCCGTCCGAAAGCGCATGGGGCTTGCTGACACTTTCCAGATACTATATCCTCTCAGAGACCTTTAATACAACCCACGGAGATCTAGACAGGGTGGTGCAGTCTATTGATCACACCAGAGAGCAATGCGACGACGTGATATCCCTGGGGACGTTCACGTCGAACCAGGATGTCCCTCGCTTTGGCTCTTATACTTCTGATATATCGGTAAGCTGAGTGTATTGGAATGTTATGCAACACAATTCAACCCACTGACTGCCGACTAGCTGGCTCGCAATATTCTCACAATCAGCATGCTCGCTGACGGAATCCCCATCTGTATGTTGCGCTCGCAAATGAAAATCACGGAGATACTGACGAAAGCCACAGTCTATTACGGGGAAGAACAGCACCTCACAGGCGGATTCAACCCTGTCAACCGGGAGAGCCTCTGGCGGACCAAATACTCGATGAAATCGACCACGCTCCCTTCGCTAGTCCAGTCATTGAATCGCATACGATCCTACGCGAGCAGCGACGGGAAAAAGTCCACGGTGACCCCGAAATCAGGAACCGACTATCTCTCGTACCTCTCCCTGCCGATCCATAATTCCACCAACATCCTGGCCATGCGCAAAGGGTTCCGCGGAAACCAGGTAGTGAGCGTGGTGTCTAATCTGGGAGCCAAACCAGCGAAGAATGCGACCACTAAGATCACGCTTGGATCCGACGGCACTGGGTTCTCGTCGAAGCAGAATCTGACCGAGGTTCTTTCGTGCAAAACCGTGGTGACTGACTCGAAGGGAAATCTCGATGTCGATCTCAGCTCAGACGGAGGGCCTCGGGTGTACTATCCTACTGAGAGCCTCAACCGGAGCTCTGTTATTTGCGGGAATCATACCAAAACATCCGGATCCTCTGCAGGGAGTCCGAGTGCTTCTCCCGGTGCTGGGATCTCGTTGTTCGGCTTGTCGTGGGGGGTAACACCCATTGCCACGGCTGCATTGACTATGTCGTATATTTTCATTTGATTATAGACTGCCACTGCTTCTAAGGTTCCAAGGTTATGTGTTATGATATCTGCTGGTTCTGGGTTGGTTTGGATTTTGTGTGGTCTTGGTTGGATGGGTTTGCTGTTAGTTTTCTATAAAGATAATTCAATTGAACTCTGTTTATTTCATACATCTGGATTGGCTTTCCTGTACTGGTATTTGGGATGGTCTGTGTGGGGTATAGAGATCTCAATCCGCTCATTTCTGCGCTGAGAAATGGGATGTCCAAAGTTACCTGTTGGGCTGTGTTACCGTACAGTCCGTAACCATACGATACTGATACTTGATAACCTCAAAGGCTTCGTATTCACGGGATATTCACCGCTTAGTGCTGACCCGACAGTCCACACATCACAAATTTGGCAACTTTGGCGGAAGAGAAAGATAAGGCGCCATGCTGACTTCCAACACATCACACCTGCAGGTCGACGCAGTTCTCGTTAATGTTTCACTGTCTCCACTCGTCAGAGGCTCAGCGCCAGAGATCAGATTTCGCTTTGCAAGGCTGGGGATTTCTCGTATTTGCAAGGCGCTGGGCTTCGGCTGAGACATACGGGATTCTGTATATAGATCTGTCCCCGATATATATAGATAGTGTTCTCCAAGTGTTGAGACATCCAGCACTCAAGCGATTCCAAGATTTGATTCAGCGAAAATGCATTACCCTGTTGCTCTCGTCTTTACTCTCCTCTCCTCGGCGCTGGCGATTACCGTCACCAGTCCGTCGTCCGACTCGGCGTGGGATTTCTCGACTCCCAAGACCATCAAGTTCACCACCAAGTCTAGCGATCCGGATGTAGTTAGCATTATCCTGAAGAGCCAGGATGGCTCCTTCCAGACCAAATTGGCGGATAATGTCAAGACCTCGGAGGGTGAATACACGACGCAGCCGAATCCAAGTATTTCCAACGGGTGGGTAGAGAGTAGATCTTCCCGAATTACCAGAGACGCTAATACCGTGTCCGATAGAGATGACTACGAGATTCAGATCATTGATTCTGCTGGCCAGCTCGCCGTTAGCGATGTCTTTACTGTTGAGAAGGGCGCTTCAGAAGGTGATACATCCTCTTCGTCTTCTTCCTCGTCTACCTCGTCTACCTCATCTACCTCATCTACCTCATCTACCACGTCTTCCACTGCCACTACCACTGTGATCACCACCACCTCTTCCGCGACACCCAGCTCGACTACTTCCACCTCGACTGCATCTACCCTAACATCCTCGACAACTTCAACGGGCAGCTCTTCGTCCAGTCCATCATCTTCAGGCATGCTACTTCGCGCAATGATACAACACAGCCATACTAATACATTTTTCTCCATACAGGCTCTGCCGCCTCTTCCACCTCCGACACTCCATCCAGTGCGGCATCCTCTTCCGCTTCGTCTTCGCCCTCAACCGATGCCGCGTCTCAGTGGAGCGCTCCCCGGGAAGCCCTGGCTCTACTCGGGGCTGCTGTCGCGTTCCTCTACATTTAGATCATGACCATTGGAGCTGGAAAGTACTTGGCTTGAAGCGTAGATCATAGTTCTTGTTGGATTTTAGCGAGTGGAGAATCATGCCATAGAATGGGTGCCTGAGGCATAGATGTCAGCTTTGTGATGAGTCGTTTCTACGAATTCAACGTTTTGCATTTGAACATCGTTTTTCTTGTCTAAAGTTCTAGATACCTAGGTATGTTTTCTGCAAGGGCAAAAAGAGATCCAGCAGCACAATCCGTGTCATCGCCATCACCATTGCCATGATACGTAAGATTCTGTTCTTCGTTGCAGACGCGGGAATCTGCGCAATTGACCGGAAATAAACTGGCTCCACGGAGAATAGGCGGGTCATATAATAGGCCGCTCAATTGCACGAGGAGTATCCAGCACTTGTTATTGGGAATGAACAAGCCGGAGCGGTGAACGCCACCGTCTGAGCGCAAGCCATCCCGATTCGAGGCGAGTGTCTCCGAATCTGCAGGTGTAAGCGCATACAATATGAGCTGTAGTTCTCTCTTTTTGCTACCCAAATCCCGTTGGAGAATCCAAGTCCTTGTCAAGGCCCGGTTGGGTGAAAGCCGAAATAATCAGCGGTCAAAGCCTTCTATGCGAGGCCCACGCGTGAAAGAATGCCCCGGTGAGATTCGATCTAGACAATATCTGTGAGATGTAAGCGATGTATCTTTCTTCTAGCCGGTGCTCTCCAGGTGGTGACGAGATGTATTGCCATCCCATGGCGTGCAATCTGATCTGGCTCATGTCCAAGTGCGGATGTACCAAAGTATTTGGTCTCCCCAATGCTTCAGCCGCATTAAGCAGAGGTCACTCTCACCACTCGGTTAAAGTCCCCGATCAGTGGATTGTGGGATTAGCGGGTTGCGGTCAAAGGAAACGTAAGATTAGCCTGTCTTGTTCGGGGAGCACCTGATGCGCCTGGGACATACGTTGACGCCGTCAGCGTAGAATGTGCCCGAGATATTCCACGCTGAGGCTTGTGCACCTCCGACATCGCGACGATGCAGGAACGGAAAGATCAAGAAGGAGTACATAGTTCCCCATTGACACGCGCTGTGATTGTTCTGTGGCTGTTGCACACGGGGCGACTTCGAGCGGCCTGGTAGAAGAGTTTGTAAGGGCACTCGGAGGGAATCTCGATTCGCGTAGGGACCTTCATCATAATCTGATTCTGGGATTCCTGTCAGTGAGACCATCAGAGTGCGAACAACGGGATAGACGCAGGGAAAGGAAGGCCATCTGAACCAGACTTGCTCCAAGGCTGAAAGTGAAGCCGGAAAAGCAACTGTTTCTTGTCATCTTTGATGAGGTTCATGGATCTCGTATTTGTTTCACCGGTGTTGCACTAAAAGGCCCCCATATCTAAACAGGTTAGCAACTGAGCCTCACTTCCGGACATCGTGACTGTGAGCGCTCATCCTGCCTTGCCATCCTGTCCGCTACTTATGGTCCGTTCGTCTCCCAGTATGGAAACCCCAGCCTGGGCCTTAAGCTACTCAATAAAGCAGGCCAAAGCTGAAGAACATGATGGTATTTGTCTGACTGGGAGCTAGCTGATAACTTTCGGAGAAAAGTTACGGTGGACTGACTTTGGGGTTACCTCCATCTCTGGGGGAAACCCCGTGTGGTTGTGGTAGATGCCCGTCGCCGAGACCTCAGGAGCTCATCCTCTGCTTGCCGTGTCTCCTAATCTACCCCCGTGGCCCAGCACGTAGTGACTATCAATCTAGCGAATGGCATCTGCAGGCTGACCACTGTCGCCGTACCCGAGGCTCGCTGCGGAGAAGCCGGTGCCGGGCGTAGATCAAGTCTGGCGCGCTGGTTCAAGAATCACCTGCTGGGCGTTATCGGAAGTGATGAGTTGGGCAAACTGCAAGCAATGCATCAAATCTCCCTGCTCCAAGTGTCTGCTCTATCCCTTCATCATACCCCACCTAGCTGTGTAGGTAAAGCGGCAACCGGAAGTGGCTGTACCTGCCGATCTGGCCGTCACAACATCCCCCCGGTCACTTTCCCCGTAATACCATCGCGTCTGCAGGTGGGAGAAGTGCTTGGGGCTGCGTTTAGACTCAGCTGCTTTTTGCCGTAAACCACCTTTATCTTCGTAAAAACGACGTGGGCGAGTGTAATCGTAAGTTGTGAGCGGGCAGTGACCGGGTCGCGAAGACGCGTCGTTTGTTGATCCGGCCGTTTGAGGGCGCGACAAGGTCATTCTGGTGGGCGTTTGAGATCAATTTCGTTCCTGAGAGCAGCAGTGAGTGTATTTGACCAAGTCTGTAAGTCATCGTCGCCAACACCGTGACTGCTCACGAAGACAGACTTACGTGCAGGTCTTGCAGAGGATCTTCATGAATCGACGTGAGACAGATCATAGCACACCTCAAGAATAAATCCTTCGCCATGAAAGGCTTTGTCAAGAGTCAGTTGGATCTCGTGACACCAGGTCCCCGCCAGAGGTCCAGAGTAGATTTCCATGGGCATCTAAGTAGGGCCCGATCCAGACATCCTTGAGAGCCCATATTCCCTCCAGATCAAGAGTTATAACATTTGGTCAGTCAACCGAGGCTGCATGGCTGGGAGATCAGAGTGCTGTGGGCGCCAGAAGCTGGTTGGGAGTGCGACTGACAGCCGGCACCTGTGAGCTGACAACCCTGTCTTCAGCTTTGCCAAAAGCCTCAATCAGATCTTACCACCGATTGCAAGACAGTACAGCCGCTAGCGATTGGGTCTTCCCAGTCAGTCTCCAACAAAACCAGTTGTGCTCGTGGGGTTCATGGGCGGTTCGAAGAGGACGTTTCGCTTGGTTGTAATCGCAGAAAGTTTGGGTGGAAAAGATACTGTCACCTAGCTCCTTTCCAAACATTAGATCTTCCGAGTAAGGTCCATGATCCCTAGCCAAGGTGACTGAGCCGCATGGGTGCCGGCTGCGGCTGCATCATGCGTGTGCGGCTTGTTGTGATTTTTGCGGCTAGATTCCACGAAGAACGCCCCAGACTTATCCAGATTGGCATCGCAACAGGCAAAAAATCGATGGACTCAAGCCTTATGGGACACAGACCCGGAGACTATACAACCGAATGATCAAAACGCTGCAGCAGACATCGAGGAGATAATTTTGTTGACTTGACGGATACAATTTCGGTTCATCCAAGTCCCACCATGAGCCCGGCGCTGCCCGTTGCTGATTCTTTCGCGGTTGAAGATCATCTCCCGATGTCTCCGCTTAGGCTGATGGGCATTGTCCAGGTTCTGGCCTCGGGAAGATCTACGCATTGAATGCCAAGCCCTTGACACCTGGTCGCGGGCCGCATTGGCGGGGCCGTGCGCGCGGGAGTTATCCCCAACGAAGTTTAGCGTAGAACCTTATGCTCTATAAAAACGACAGGGACAATCACTCGATGGAAGGGTATTTATCTATCGTACAATGGCAGGCTCTGTCATGGAATAGGAATTGCAGAAGCATATAGGTTGGTCTGTGGGAT